GAAAATCCCAGTAGATCAGCAGTTTCTGAAATACTCAGACCAGCCCTTCTGGCATCAACAATCATGCCACGTTCAAAGTCACTCAAATCACCTTTCTTCCCCATACTGATGCTCGCTTTGAACTGCAGGAGATTGTCTTGACCATGTCTACATGCCTAAATGCACTGAGTTGCTGGCATGTGATTGGCTGCTTAGAAATTGAGCGTTAACGAGCAGTTGGACAGGTGTACCTAATAAAGTGGCCGGCGAGTGTACATGTTTATGTAAAAACCACAGTGCCAAACAGCGTAATAATCAAAATCCGTTTAGTAGTATTACATTTTTTTTTCTTTGAAAACTTTAACAAAACAAACTAAAACAAGGTGCTCATTAAAGGCACACGAACAAATATTTTATCCCAGACTATTTTCTTATATCAGTATCGTAAATCTGTGCATTTAAAAGCTTGGTACAAATAATCGATTTAACGTACAAAATGCTCCCTATCAAACCCCAGGAAAAACGATGCACATCTATTTTAGAAAGACAAACTATTCAAAGACTAAAAGTTGACATTTTTTAATACATCACCATGGCTTTAGAAATACTAACAGCGGCTAGAAAACCTAGTGAATAAAGCAAGCATGGAAACTGTGCTTAGAGAGCGGTTTTTTGCCTGTTTTTCTAAGTGGTTTCCTGAAATATATTTACACATAATCAACAAATACGTGTCTAGAAAAGTGTTATAAAATATGACACTAATCTATCACCATGCCTAGAAAGTGTGACCGCTACAAATATTTTAAAATATACATTGTTTTTTAGAGCATAAAACTATTTTACTAAATAGCTTGAAACAAAGCTCTAGCAAAGATCAAACCTAACTACAACAAATCTGACGCCATCTTCAGATTCTTTATCAGAGAAAAAAGTTCTTATTTTTTATTCTAATGCATTCATTTGCCCTCTGGAGTAACTTGTGATTGTCAGTCGGACCATAGAGGCTGAACACACTGATGAACATCCCAACCCCCAAAGCACATCACTCTTTAAATGAATCAGATTTGATGTATTCTGTGAAAAAATATGAAGCTGTACGATTCCTTAGTATTTATTGCTTTCTTGTTTTCACTAGTCAAATGATTCTAGGTTGGGGGGTTTCATTTATTCTGAAATTCATTGAGACATTTTGATAAAGTTTTCATTTTAGATAAACCCTAGAGATGGAGTTCCTGAGGTTATCTAGAGCTATCTTTTTAGTTATGCTGCTATTGTCAGGGTGTGGTGTTGGTCGAGGACCCAAATGCAGAAACAAGTTGGCTGAGGTGAATTTAAGAGGGTTTAATAAAGTTAACAGGAGCTGAGGCAGGAAACAAAAAACCAAAAAAATCCAAAAATCACAAACAAAACGAACCAGAATCAAGGAAACATCAGGGGTAAACCAAAACTCTAGGAGCCAGGGAGAGACGAGGAAGACAGGCAGATGTTAGACGAGGATCCAGCAAACAGGAACTGAAGAGGGAGGCTTTTAAAGGGGACAGAGACAAAGAGAGGGCTAATGAGGAAATTGAAAACAGGAGAGGGCTGAACAGAAAACAGAGCAAGAGAAAGAGGACACAAGAGGGCAGCAGAGGACAACAAATGGAGAACCAGGAAGACAGGAACTAATAAGAAAACAACAAAATAATAATCAAATAACTAGGATAAAGAAACATGGTGAAAAGAAAACTAAACACTAGAAATCAAGGAGCAAAAGAAAAACAGAAACAGAAACCTAACAGCTATAAGCTTAGACTGATGGAGGACATAGAGAACAATTTTCCTCGTTTGGCTTATCTCCATTTCTATATCCTATTCTGCAGTTGTTGTTAGTTCAACCCTTAAATTATAATATATATATTACATATAATAGAAGCTTCATCTATTCTGGTTCTGTTTGGCAGTGACACCATCCTAGACACAGCTATGGGCTCAGCTTTACTTTCTCTGACTCTATGTGCTCTCCTTTATCCTTTTGACATGACAATTGGCTCATAGCTCATCTGGTTACCAGTTTCTTGGCTTAGCGTAGCCACCTGTGGAGCTGGTTTACCATGACCTTTTCTAACATAGAAAGCATTCATAGATCAGTGCTTCTCTAGTCCTCTTATATGTCTGCTTCTCTCTCCTTGAAGCCCTAGTGAGCCTCGGCAGAAGGCCAATCAAAATACAAACAAACATCTACTGTTGCTCATGCTCATACTGCTCATACTGTTGCTCAGGAGCAAACCCTGTAAAGTCAAACACTTGATGCAATAAACTGCTTTTCCTTAGGATTGAAGCTTTTTTACTGATCTGACTGGATGAACTGATTGAATTGCCTCTGTAATGTGCATTGAGATGACATATGTTGTGAATTGGTGCTGTTGAAAATAAAATGAACTGAATTGAACCGTCTTGAGTCCAATGTTCCCGTTTTGATGTGTGAAATTCAGCAGCTTATGCAGGGACCTTGGTGGTGTCCAGCCTAACTTCCTTCTTGTGGAAAGCTATCTTTGATCTGCACAGCCTCAGTAACCAAACCGTGGCCTATGTCATGTACAGACTGATTTTATAGATCTGGATTCCTTGCAGATTTGATGCAAAAGCAAACTGCAGTTAAAGCCTAAGAGTTTAATTTAGAGAACAAACAGCATTGTAAAGACCAAAGAACCCAGCATACAAATTATAGAGAAACATTGGTAGAAGTTCAAAGTGGGACTAGGATCAACATATTAATCTTATGACCACAAAACAGGCTTAAATCTGAGGCAACTGGAATTTCACCCAGTTTTTTTTGATAACCTTTAAAAACCTAGGAATCTTTGTCAGTTGCCACTAGAGCAATCTGTACTTGGATGGAATTACAATGTTTTTTCCTTAATGAAAGTTCGGCAGCTTCTGATTTAACCCTTTTTTTATGGCTGCTATGACCAGGATGACTGAGAATTTCCACTGTCATCCGTACACTTAAAGTCGTAGGGAAGCGGCTGTTCCAAACGTTGCATTTCTGAATTCTCCCGAGTGGTGCACGACTTTACACGAGTGAATAAAGTGAATGTGATTGGTCGTTTATCAAGAGGGCGGGATTGTTATGGCAGAAGGTTTGCAGGCAAGTTTGATTGTAGCCGGTTTGTGGGAAGCATCTTGCTAACCAGTTAGCAACTTAGTGCTAGCAGGTTCCCAATGGGAAATTCCATTGGGACCAAGTAGCACTAAATTGGTGACTTAGAAACGACGCTGTCAAGGAACGCTATGGACAGCGGAAACATGCAAGAGGAGGAGAGTTTAGTGTCGGAGGTCGTGGATGAGTCTCCTCCGTCATCCATTTTTTATTTAGAGGAGGAAAGCGGGGACGAAGATGTTGTGGAAGAGGACGCCAGGGCGGCAGAAGCTTGGTTTGGTGTAGAAGGCTTCCAGCCGTACATGTTTGAGCCCTTGCCTCGCAACGCTGCCAGTTCTGTTAGCTCTACGCCTGCCGAAGACACAGACGTCCATCCCCGTGAACACTGGGACGCAACTCAATGGGAAAGGAAAGGATTCTGATTTCAACCGTTGCGTATATGCGTATTTAATTGTTCAGGCTGATGTATAACTAACTGACCAGTATAAGATAGCAAAAAAAAACCCCCACAGATTTTAAGACAGGAAATATAAATTTTCTAAATTCTGGGACAATATGGTCTGATAAAGAGTACATTTATATACATGTTTAAGCCAGAATGATTTTACATTTAAATATGATTTCCCTACGACTTTAGAGGCTTTGGGACATTAATTAGAACTCTAAACATGGACCTCTTTTAGCCTCTTATTGACTCTAGCACCAAAAAATCTAATCTAGCTAACACAATATTTATAGCTGTGTAAAAGAAGTAGAAGTCCATGATCTTTAAACTGGTGTTTCTTTTTATGATAATAATACTTTATCCTCCTTCTTAATAACTACAGCAGTTTTGTTAAGAAATTACAATTCTTGCAGCACAACTGACATTGTTCCCATGGCAGCAATTATCTCCCGTCTCTGATGGTTTGCTGCTCTCAGTGCGCACACTGAACAGCTTGGTTGTTTAACATTTCAGAGTAAAAACACATGTTTATCATTTGTTGGTACATGATGAATATGTAACTATCTAGAACTGTTCTCTACAGTTTTCCAAACCAAATATAAATGTTTGCTTTGAATAAATTGATCATATCACTGCAACACCACAGCTAATACAATGAAATAAATGGAGTTTATGAAAATGATAATTTGCTATGTGTTTGCACACTTGTTATTTCACCTTAAGAACTATCGATTTGAAGTTTAAGCTTAAAAATGTTAGGCTTGGTCTAAATCTATATGAGAAATAATCAGCAGATTAACTGTAATGAATGTATAACTGACTGATTTAAATAAGCTAAGGTTGCAATCAGGTATATTTCCTATTGGGCCAGGTGCTTCATCTGAGACCAGAGTCTGGGCAAAACTTTTAAAAGTATGTTCACATTTTTTCCAGTCTGACTGAGCTTAGACTTTAAACTTTCTTAAACCAGGATCTGGGTGAATAATTCATTTCAGTTTATTTCTATAGCGCTTATTCACAACACGTCACCTCAAGGCACTTTCCAGTTCACCAGATCATCCAGTCAAACTGGTTCAAAGTTTTCTAAGGAGAACCAGCTGATTGCATCGACTCATTGACTCTTCAGCAATCCCTCATACTACCGAATACTACAGTAGCAGCCATTCAAAAACAGCATCTCAGTAACCAAATGAATTCCTGGATTATTTCCTTTTTAGGTGCACAATAGCAAAAGCTTTATGATGGCGTTAGTGGATCCTAATAGCGCCAAAAAGAGATGAAGTATTAGGTATATTTACCAAAACTACATATTTGAAAACAGATACTTGTACTCACATTTTTTTGTTAAAAACCTAAATCTAATTCAAGCTGCACATGAATTACTGCTTCAGAGTTTTAACCGGCAGAACTTGATAGAAAGAAAAAGGCAGAGCGGTAGAGGGCATTGGGACTAAATTCATGGAAAGTAAAATGAGAAAATGAATGTTTAAGTTTAGCTTAAAACCTATTGGAAGACAGATAAGTGCAATTAAAGCAGACCCACATTTCCCTATCATTTGCATATCTTACAGCATGTGTGCGAAAAGTTGGCTTTGCTACATTCATGCTTTAAAAAAATTTTTTTTTTTGCAAGATTTGATTTTTAAAAATTAACAAGAATCATTAATTTTTTCCTGAACAGCAGAATGATTTTGGTAAAGGTTTATGTCTTCGTGTCCCTGCATTGGAATCATTTTGTGCCACTTGGGTAATTTTCAAACAAGTCTAGCCCAAAGGTGATGAGCCTGTCGGATGAGTGCAGGGCCCTGAGGATCAGGGACAGGGATTGGTTCCTGGCACTGTGGCAAAGTGCTTCCTTGTTGAGAGAGTAGTGCCTCGCTGCCTTGCTGGCCACGCTGCAATGCAGGGCCACTTCCTGTGAGAACTTCAGAATGGAGAACTGAGCCGTCTTTCCTGGGAGGCTGTAAAGTAAATTCCTGTGGAGACATAAAGAGAATTGATTAGATCATTGAACAAGAACGACTCAGACAATCTGTCATAGTTCATTTCCGTCAGAGCAAAGAAGTTGGAGAATGAGAAAAAATCCAGCTGTTTTGTTGTTGTCATATTATAAATTAAGTAACTTGTGTCTATAGTTCTGCTGCTATAGGCTTAGACTGCTGGAGGACATAGGGACCCCTTTTTCATCATTCTGCTTCATTCTATCTCTATTCTCCCACTCTGCAGAACTTGTCCCAGGTACTTCTTTAAAGCCCCCATAAGGTTTATGTGGGCTCTCCGTGCAGGCGTCAGTCCTCAGTGAGGTCTAGAAGCACAAGATCTATATCCAGCCATTCAACGAAGATCCTCCTACATGGCTGTACATCTTATTTTGACATTTGACCAATTAGACGAGCCCTTGAATGATATATTACCTACTGGAAATTAAGATGAAAATAAGATGATATTTAGGTTTATAAACTAAATAATGTAAGTGCCAGTATCAGCATTAATGCCTCTAAGTTTATGTTGGACCAAAAAAAAATTGTTTTTTTCACTCTCAGAGTGTTTTTCATAACATTCTTATAGAAGCACTTTTGTTATTTTTCTTAATATATTCTGGCTAGTTGGCGTTTCTAGTTATTACATCGATATATCCATATTTTTTTAATGTTCAAAGGTAATAAGGTCTTGTCTTGGATTCCAATAACACTATTAGCAGGAAATGTTGATTTATTTTAAAGTATTTCACAGTGACCTATAAAGTGTTAAAAGTACATCTTTGAAGCCCCCATAGGTCCGATGTGTGCTCTCCATGCAGCTGTCAGTCCTGGATGCTCTCCGCTGTTCCACCCTGACTGACTCCTGAGGTCTGCAGACTTGGTTTGAACCCAGAGCAGCAGGTGGTCTCCATTAAGGATGGGCTGAGGTTGGATGTTTGGAAACACACCAATCAGAAGCAGATGTCTTCATTTATGCTCACAGGTTGTGCAGAAACAGCTCTCTTAAAGCTAAACATTGACAGACAGCTGCTGACAGGATTCAGTCAGAGTTTTTTGTTCTTGAAGAATCACCTGCTTCTCTTTTTTCCTTGTGTGTTTGTCAGTGCAGCTCGGTTGTTTCCTTTTTGGTCTGTTTTCAGTCCCAGGGATGCCATTTAATTTTGAACTGGGTCATTCTACCATAGAAAACACAGAAGCTAACCAGTGGTGTATGACCAAGATGACAGATTATAGGTATTCTACATATGCATACGTCATAAACTCCTAATAAAGCTGTTATTGATACGGGATGGGAGACATTAATCAACAGAGATGTTATTTTAGTTCAACTTAGATGATGATTAAATAAATACCGACTTTTTCATCATTCTGCTTCATTCTATCTCTATTCTCCCACTCTGCAGAATCTGTTAGTTCAATCTCTAACGTTCTGCTCTCTCTGCTTTTTCTCATAGTAGCTTCATCTGGTCTGTTCCTGTTTGGCTGTGACTCCATCCTGGAGAGAAATATCAGCTGTGCTGCTGCCATCAACACCTTTGTTTCTAGATGTTGGAGCTTGGCCTGTTTTCCAGTGTAGTCCTGTTTCTCTGACTGTGACTAACTGGATGTGCTCTCTTCATCCTCTGACATGGGAGCTGGCTCGGAGCTCGTCTGCCTGGCTGTGTGTTTCCTGGACGGGGCCGCCTGTGGAGCTGGTTGATAGTTGCCTTTTGGATCTATGTTTCTTTTTGTATGTCTGCTATCTCTCTGTCACTGTCACTACAAGCATTCTTAGCGGGAGGGATTACTGCTCAATGTGCTCAAATGTCACACATAGTTTTTCCAATTTTACATAAATGAAAATTATTTTTCAGTTCAAAGAAGGGAAACTTTTTTGTACGGTTTGTGTCATACATCCATAATCACCCCTCCTGAGTCATTATTATGAGAAGCATTGTTTGCTGCAGCTATGCAGGTTCTTAATCAATTAAAAATAAAACTTGTCTGTATCATAAATGTGACCCATTCAGACGTACCTCTGTACTTTACACCCAGATCACCTTAGAAGCCCTTCTCTTCTAAGCTTTAAGTAGCTTTATATGCAGCGTGTGCGGCTGCAGATTGAAGAACCCCCCACTGCCATGGTTAGCCCTTCTGAGGCAAAGAGCTGTGTTTATTTTAGCCTCCTCTGCGCTGAAGTTCGAATCCCCTACCCTCATATTTCCAGCTGTGAGGCCGCGGCCCCAGCTCAGTCTCCCCTGTGAGATGCATGTTTAAACAGCAGCTTCAGAAAAAACCAGGTAGATTATTCAACCAGACCTTTTGAAGAAAATCCTCTGTACGCATGGTAATTAGGGTTGATTACACTTCTGTCAGCATAATGATATATTATCAACATATTCTTTATCTTTCAAGGTTAGGCCTCAGGGGAATACTTAGCAGCCTCCTGGGGTAGAAACAGGATTTTCACAGTCCTCTGTCTGTGAGTGTGGATTGTTAGCTGAAGGTCAGTGTTCTCTCACACCCTATAGAACATGACCTGTGTCTTAACAGATGAAGAATCACTCCATTTACTCTCTAGGACTGTCCGTTCAGCCACTTTAGGAGAAATCAATGTTCTTCAGTCCCATAGAGAGAAACACTCTGCAGTTTGTGCCATTTTGACCTACAAATGACTACTCTTCTACCCCAAAGACTCACTCATGTATCCGTACCATATGGAGAGAGGATTCTTACAACCAGTGACTTGCTGGGGGAGGCAGCAAAAACAGCTAAGGTCACGCATATGAAAAGTAGTTTTCCGCTGGTCGCTGTCTGATGTGTCAGAAAATATATACCGACCAATCAGAGGAAATGGTTTTGACATGAATTAGAAAAGGTAAGAGCTTAAAGGAAATTATTACTCCAGACCAGATGAACTCTCAAACATTTATGTACCTTGGGTTTTCTCATTCTCATAAAGCCGGGAATACACTGTGCGATATTTTCAGTCGTTGCACGCCGCTACAGCTCACACTGTACGACAAAACCGCAGGGTTTAAAAGTTCACAGCTCATGATGTTTGTTCTCACGCTGTGCGACGGAACGCACTGATGTGATCTACCTGCTCCCACTGTATGACCAAAAACCACCCATCAGACTCAGCGCCAAGAAATGGAGATAAAATTGAGGCAACCCTTTTATCTTTAAGAGGCTAAAGTCTGTTAAAAACAGAGCAGCATCCAGCCCCAGAAAGTTTACACGTCTAAGAATGCAGCTGGCCACGTCCCTCCACACATGGTCTCCTGTCAGGAACTTCTGAAGGAACGGTAAACGAAAGGTAGCCGTTGTACCGGCCAGGTGGACAAGGCCCTGCCCCCCCTCCTCTCTTGGTAAAAACAGGACAGACTGTGGCACCCAATGTCGACTGCTCCAGAAAAAGTTGACCATCTCTGACTGTATTTTTACAAGTAAATTGGATGGTGGGTCTAAAACAGCTGTGATGCAATAAGACTATTATTTTTATTTATTTATTTTTTACAGTGTCCTGTCTGGCGATGTGGCAATAAGAATAATTGTCTTTGAGGCTAAAAAGAGCCCAACAGATTTTTCTTTCACAAGTGGAGCAGTACGGCTATCGTCATAGTGTTCCGCTTCATTTATGCATATAAATAGCTTTATTATAATTCATGCAGGAAGTTTTACAGATTATATGGTCACTGCAATGTAAGTATAACAGGAAAGGAAAAACAGAAAAAAAGGTGAAAAGATGAAAGAAAGAGGAGATAAAAGGGAGATAATGATAAAGCATCTTCAGTCTGCTTCATCACCTGCAAAGAGATGGAAAAAGAACAGAACAACCACCGGGCATGGTACGAGATATACACTAAAGAAACACCTTGATACTATTGCTGAAGTATAAGTAGTATAATTTAAACTGACATGTATACTGTAGTAGCTGAAGATCAGAATATGGGCTCTCTGTGTGGAAGTCAATCTCTGAGCATCTGGAACCAAACACCTGTAGTTATTTCTGAGAGTGAACTTGTGCATGTAAAGTTTATCCAAAGGAAAAATGCTCAGCAGTGATTCTGGAGAGCCGAAGACGCTAGTGTATACTACACAACACAGGAGTGGCCTGTGGGAATATAAAAGAATTATGCTCTACTTTGTAGTTACCAATCCATCGTTAAAATATTTTAATCTGACAAACCGGATCTTCTCGCCGTTCTTTTTCCTGTTTGGTGCGATTGTGAATCGACCTGGCCAGGACGAAGCAAAAAGAATAGCTCTGCTCCGCATTTTGATGGTGAAGGACGGAGAAGACGTACGTGGATGGTGATGTGCAGAGGAGCACATCCATCCAAGCACCCAATAGTGCTTGGATGGATGGATGGATGGATGGATGGATGGATGGATGGATGGATGGATGGATGGATGCTCTGCCTTTTCAACCTACTGTATTTTTTATTTGAAACATTATTTGATGGCCTTTGTGGCAGGGATGGAGATCCATATTTTATGTCACACACAGAGTATAGATCTAGATAGAAAGATGGATAGATGTTGCAGTATCTATAACAACCCAAACACACAGGATTTCAGAATTAGACATCCCCAGTTAATAATTTCACCAGATCTGAATGCCCTGTTAAAAACCTTCACATGGCGTTCCCCCCTGATGTCATTTACGTTGAGTTGCAATAAATGCTAAACTCTCTGCAGGTTCTTGTCTTTGTCGTTCGCTCTATTCAGCTGGCTTTGGAAACACACAGCGAGAAGGTGGGGGCTGGGTGGGGAGGGTTACGGGGGCGAGAAACGCAAAAGTAACGCAATAGTTACTTTTACTAGTAACTAGTTACTTTTATTGTGGAGTAACTCAGTTAGTAACTCAGTTACTTTTTGGGAGAAGTAACTAGTAACTATAACTAATTACTTTTTCAAAGTAACATGGCCAACACTGTTTGTAAATGGGATCATGAGGATCTTGTAAAACCATGTCAGTTTTTACGTCCCTGTGTGCATAAAACCATCAA